ATTGTTGCATAAATAAACAAGTTCGCTAATTTTTTAAACAGATCTCGTATGTGATAATCGACAAAATTATTTACGGCGTGAACACGGTCGGTCACGCGTCGTGTCGAGCGACGCGATTGCAAGCCCGTGATTGAAAATACGGCAGTCAAGTCGTCGCCGGCATTGCCGATAAGCGAGTTTATCACGCGACATTGGTTCTTCAAGCGAGCGTGTTTCGTGTCTCTATGCAAATTGCGGGTGAACTAATACTCGCCGTCCGGAAATGGGGTGCCTCGCAAGCCGGAAATAAAATGAAATCCAGCGTAATAGAATGGCAGTGCCGCTTGACAGCTCGCGCGTCCGCGACAATGTTCGCGGTCAGACGCTGATGAAATTTTCGGCAGCGTTGTCATGTAATTCTGCGAACTTTTTAGAGGTAATTTGACAGCTTATCGTGGCTCGAATGTATCGAGTCTGCGTTTTTATTTCTCTTTTGGTTCCTCTAATGCCTTTAATATCTATCTATTTCCCTTAAGAACACGACATCGGTTTACTTTTGCACGAGGTGCACTATCTTATTATTTGTTGAAAATTTTTAATAAATTATATTTACGGAATATATCCAATTGATAATGTTAATAAACGTGATTAATTTTCTCTTCGCGTCTTTAAGTTCTTGATTAATTATTGCATTGTGATTGATCCATTAGGTTTAATAGTTATCGTAATAATTTTATATTAAAGGAAAGAAAATTAAGAATGGGAATAGAATAAAATATTGCAATTAAATATTGCAAGAGATATTTTAAGCAAAATCTGAATAAAGTTAACTCAATGACTACGTTGACTTTGGATTAGGAACAAAGTGTTATTTTCCTCGCAATCTTCTTTCTTCTTCTTTTATCGCCATCGACGCCATCACGTTATCCTTCGATTTCTGCACGCTTTTCATTGAGACGAAGATAAAGCTTCCAAGAGGACATGCTGTAGCCTGTATATCGATCAAATCCAGTTGGAACCGAAAGCTGAGGAGTTTTAAAATGGTTTTATGGTAACTAATCGATGTCAGTGCTCAGAGACAGGTAGAATAGAGACTAGGTAGGAAACAAGGAAAAAGTTTAGTTCGCTCGTTGCAAAATTGCGCCCGTTGCGAATTGCTTTGTCTATGCAGACGTATATGCATGCGCGTTCGTGAATAGAGACCATGTGTATGGCGATTACATACGCCACTTTGTCTCTGGTTTTAAAGAGAGAGATAGAGGAAGGTTGGAGGGTTCGGGAAATTCGTAGACTATGCTATGTCGTATATATACATATACAACATGTATGTGTATATATATCCAATAATATATATCATCGTGTCCTTCATCATCATCATTATATTTACTGGTATAATTAATTACTCGCTTAGATATGAAACCTAATAGGAACATGATTGCACCGTGCCCGTTTTTTCCGCACGATGTTGGCGCCTCCGATTGCGGCTCTACCGCTTTTTTCATCTTCCCGTTTTTTCTCGTTTTTTTTTCCTTCCGTCTTCGGGGCTCGCACGCGTTTTGCTGTATACGCTCGTGTGTATTGCCATCTCTTCGCGCGTGTACCAGTACAACCGTGTTCGTCCGTTGTGATAATCGTCGTGTGGCACGCGCATACATATCCCTTCTTCGTCGCCGTTACAAAATCCGGACCAATACCGTTTACGCGTATAAATGGATAATAATAAGTCTGTACACAGGACGCGAGAGAATGTGCGTAAGTCTCGGAGCGATGACCAGGCGAGAACGCGAGCTCGCTCTGCTATCTCTCGTCCCCCGCTCGATCATCGATCGCGTGAAATCGTTACCCTCGCGGGTACCGACGCGACGAGCCAAGTTAAACGAAAGTTCAATGAAACGAGTACGCGTGGAACATCCCGATTGGCTAGAACCAAAGGTGCGATATACCGATATACGTATATTTAATGTGTCGAAGGTACGGTGAAACGCAACGGAACGTATCTAGTCGCGGAAAAGTACGCTGCGCATCTCTCCGTTGTGGCGCAATGCGCAGTCCCCTTTTCCTCGCGGTAAAACACACGCGTATATTATTCTCGAGCTAAAAAGCGTAAAAGGTACTTCGTCCTGCCGGTCACTTTTGAATGAATGCGTTTACACGTGTCCGCGCGTCACTTTAACGTCGCCGTTGTTCCCCAAATTCGACACTCTCGCGATCGTCGCCGATCTGTTTGCGTCTCCGCGTTTTACAAAAAGAGCCCGGCGAGAGGCGCAAAGAGAGGCGCTTGTCCCGTCTATCCAGGGCGTCCAAAGAGATGGGATTCCGGATTTTGTTCGTCGATCACGCTCGATTCGTCGATCGCGGGCCGAGCCGACGCGCGGCGCCAACATCGTCGAGGTTGCCCGGGCCGGCGTTTCGGGTGTCCCGCGCCATCGGTGGGTGTGCGGACCCACGCGCGGCTGACGGTGCCCCGTAGTGAGTACATATAGATATACACATGGCAATCTCTCACAAGAATTAGTCGCTATCGTTATCAATTAGTATCCATTATTAATTAATAGTCAATCAAGTACCGCACGAACAAATTCTCGCAAGTCAATCGGCAATAATGTAATAATAATCATACTAATAATGATAATAGTGTAATAACGTAATAATAATGATAATAATAATAATAATTATGACAATAATAATCGCAATAGTAGTAATAATTGCAATAATAGTCACAATAGCAATTAATAGAGTTAATAATAAATAGACACGTTCAACATATTTCCGTAAAAACTCAACGAGATTAGAAAAATGAAAAACTTCGACGATCACCGTAGCCTTTTCCGTCGTCGGACGGTTCCACCGACGCGATATTCCGACTGTTCGCTCGTCGAGCATGGCACGGCCATTGTTACCGAGTGCATGAAAGTATAGCGGGAGTTTGCAAGTTGTTCCAATCGTCACCTCTCTCTCTCTTCGACGCGTCGAGCGAAAAGTTCTCTGTAAAAATGCATCCTCGATGGATCTTTGCGATCGATCGGCGTCACGCGCGATCCCGACCGCATTCGGCGCTCGCGAGAAGAGAGAGGGGGGGGGGGATTGTCAATGGTTAGCGAGGGTGGCCGTGTGTCGACGGAAAATAGCATCGGTGACGTCGGCCGCGCTTAATCCTTCCGCAACGCAGTAATATATATATGTATATAGCATTCGTTTCCTCACATATCGTTCTCGTATCGTTAGCTCATCACTCCATTACATAATTCGCGCACACTTATCACTCACTCATTGTTGATTTTTAGGAACAGCTAGCGAGGTTCGGTTACTCTATCACGCAATCTCCGTACTCGAAACTCAAAACGCCAAAACCGACGCGCCGGTTTTGCGTACACGCGCACGTACGTAGCCGCGTTTTGAGAGTCACGCTCGTATGCGATGTGTAGCTCCGAGTTCATACGCAAAATTCGATTTCAGTGTGTGTGGATGTGTGTTTTTATGTTGTTTGTTTGTATGTGTGTGCGCGCGCTTGTGTATTCCCGTTAATTTGTCTGTGTTGCGTGTATATACGCGTGTTTATAATTTGTATTAACGAATATTACGGTCCTTGCAACGCGTCGCTCTCCTCTGTGTCTCTCGCGAGCAAATTACTAAGAAAAAACTAAGATCGCGATGGATACCGGGCCGAGGCGCATCGTCTTGTGCGTTCAAGTGCATATTTTCGCCCTTCTATGATTTTACTATACGTATGTAGGAAATTTCGCAGCGAAGGGAAATAAATTTCGCTTCTCTCTCACAGTCTTAGCGCCGCGGCTTTGAGGTCCTGGGCGCTTTTTCTTTGGAACATCTTGCCTCGTGCTAGTGGTAGTGATAGAGTTATCGTTTGCAAAGATCCTGAAGACAGTACGGATTCGCGGTCGCCAAACGCGAGCGCGCACACGCGATTCCGCGGCGATCGCCTTAATTAATTCTACAACTTGATCACACCCGTTAATTGTCTTATTTTGCGAGGTATCGGTTCGTACGAAGAGAGATTCCGCTCTGGATTCTTTTTTTTTCCCGGTACGTCCTGTAAAGGTGGATCGTGCCGGTCGGAAAGACGATCGGCTGAAAATTTCGATAATAGCGATTCGATTAGGTGTTCTCGGTAGTAGTATACGAGTGCGGGTATGTGTATAGATGTATATGTATACGCGTGTATGTGCACAAATGTTCTCGTTCGTGTCACTTTTTGGAACATGTACGTGTGTTAAATGTACGCTAGTTCAACGCTGTAACGTTTATATAGATAATAATCAATACATGACCACATATATGTAAATATAATATCGTAATCTATAATCATAATAATAATAATAATTCAAATATAATATTAATAATCGTCGTTACCAACGTTACGTTAGAAAAGCATCTTTTGCAGACAGGAACCTCGAGAGTTGCTTAGTACCTTAGGAATAGTTATTACTTCGCGTTTCGTTTGATCTTAACGACCACGTGTTTTTTTTTTTAACGTCCTCGGATCTCAGACCCCCTCCCCTGCTTTCTCCGAGAGCCCCCTTACCCCCAGAGACGAACGCGCCCATTCGTCAGTGCATTTCTCTGTCCGGCATCCCCCACATCGCTCTCCGTTCCACGCGACACCCTTGTTTTTTCTCCGGTATACCCTTTTTTTTAACCTAATGATTCACGTAAATTCAAGACTGCAGCACGTAAAAACACGCCACGGTATCTTTTTCTTTTGCTTATTTTTTTTCTTTTGCACTTCCGGTGGCACTTCCGGCATTCTGTAGCTTCGCATACGCGCCGCATTGTATGCGCGAACTTTCGTTTCTTCTAGAGTGAGCTTCTAGAGCGAGGAACACGACGTACGTACGCGTGTAGACACGTCATCGTTCCGGATAGCATCCGCGAGGATTCTAGTACGTCACAACATCATATATATATATATATATATATATTTATATATATATTTATATATGTATATATATATATATATATTTGTCTACTTAAATATATATTTTCTTCTTATTCATTCACTTCATTTTTCATATATATATACATACTTCTCTTCTGTATATATACTTATATGCGTGAGAGTGTGTGTTTGTGTGTCTATGTATCGTTTCTATCGACGCGCATGTACCCATCCTCCTCACCCTCTTTCCCCTTATATTCTATAGTTTAATCGTAATTTATCCGTAACTTACAGCTAGTAGTGAATTCTTTGTCGTTCTCGATTTTACACCCTTTTGTTGCTGTTCGAAACGGTGCAATTTTCTTTCTCCTCCCTCTTCCCCAACCTATGATCCGGGACGATGTTTGTATTTCTAAAATATTTTCGTCTAAATGCGCGAGATTTTTGAAATTTTTATCCCTATATAACCGCCGTATCTAAATTTAAAAAATTCACCTTGTTCTATTAAAAAATTCCAGATTACATCACTAGAGTGTTTAGATTTCACCCAGTACAATATTTGGCCGATTATCTGTTCACGAATAAAGATCAAATAAAGAGTCGTAGTGTTCACTTATGCTACGTTGCACGTGCGTATACGATTTGAGTTTGATTTCCAGACGTTTGCAATACAGTTCGGTTCTTGTACGTGTACCGCTCTATTCTTTTATTTGCTCGCGCGAGACTGTGGAAAAGAGGGAGAGCAAAGTCAGAGGACATAGAGGTAAGATTCTATGGTGCCGGGCCACCCTCCTATTATCCCCCATCCCGTGCGTCGATGTGTGTCAATCGGTTGTTCGATTATCGAGCTTTGCTTAGCGATAATCGTTATAGCTACCGACAGCCCTCTAATACCTATCGTTATTACTATCATTATTATTACTAGTTTCATTATTATTATTTTATTACTCTTATTATTATTAATATTATTATTATCATTAACGTTGTTACTAATCATTTGTTTAGCGTAATAAATATAATTTATTAAATATAGGAACCATGTTTCTGGGTCTTGCTTGCTCGTTCGTGCACGCGAATCGTGACGATGACGGGCACACCGGGGGTTTATTATGCCGCCTTATATACCGTCGTTTTCCCTTCCGTCCGCCATCTTATTACGTTTTTCTTTTTTATCAAATTATGGGAAATAACGTAAAAAAAAACGTACGTGCCAAGCCCGTTGTGCACGTGTGTACAGTGCGCGTCTGTCATGTGTGTGTGTGTTGTGTTGTGTGTGCGTTACCTGTTTATATGTATGTAAGTATTTGTGAATGGCAGAGAAAATTGCAGAGAAAGAGTATCGTGTGTGTGTGTGTGTGTGTGTGTGTGTGTATGCTTCTTGAATTATCCTTCTTTGTCGCTTTCCCGAAAAGCGTTCCTCTTTTTATTACCTTTTCCACGATCGCCGTCGAAGTCGCTGAACGATTCGCGACACACATACATACACAACGCATGCACGTACGCACGCATGCACGCACACATACACACCCGCACACGCGCAGGTCCACATACACACAGGTCCGTGGAAAGCCACGTGCACACGCGCGTCAAAATGAGAAAGAGAGTGATAGAGACAGTCAGATATCTATATATATATATATATATGTATATGTGTATATATATATAGATGTATGTATATATATATATATATGAATATGTACGTACGTATTCGTAACGATGGCGGCGTTTTCAGTTTCGCGCGCCGCGCACCATCTACCCTACTACGCCGCGCCTAATAGCGTCCGCTTTTATCTTCCTGCTTCTTTTTCTTTTTTTTCTTAGTAACTCTGCTTTAAATCTTTATTATTACTTTACATAGGAACGTTTAAGTTAGCCCACCTCGACGCGTGTCGTTCCGCGTCGCACGACGCACTTTCCCTCCGGAACTTCCCGTACTCTCCTCTCCTGGAAACGTATCGCGCACATCGTTCCGAGACGTGCACCCAAAAATCGGCTCGATCCGATCGAGCCGCTGACTGATCGACCGATCGACCGATTGTTGGCTACCCAGCAAGGAGGATTTCTCGTTCGTTCGATCGTTCTCCAGTCGATTCCACCAGACTAGCTCGTCTTCGTCGAGTCTCTCTATTCTTTTGCCACCTTTCTTTTTTTAATTTAATAATCTTTTTTTCTTTTTCTTTTTTTTTCGTGCTACGAGAGGAACTTTGGAGAGCGCGCATCTTCACGGCGCGCGCTGCGCGGGATTCGCGTTACAAAAATAATAGGCGAATCGGGGGCGCGGGGCTAGGGGGCAGGGAAGCGGTGGAGGATGGTTGTGTGCTGGCGGTGCATAAACGACGAAATTAAGAGAGAAAACGAATGATCGTCCGCCGTTCGTGCCTGAGTAATGTGCCTCCCTTTCCTGCCCCCTCTCCTACCGCCACGGGGCAAATGCCCCCGACGGGGTGCTCCGTCGAGATGGACACCCGTGCCTGCCCGTTCATCGCCGGTTAGGAACATTGGCTCGTTCACTGCGACGTCCTCGAGTCCGACCTCCTCCAAGCGACGTCCATAGGTTCTCGTCTTTCCCTCCTCCGCCCATCTTCTCTTATATTTTACTCTTGCAGTTTCTTTCTATTGTTATTTGGTGCCATTTTTCGCGCGCAACTTCCCTGCCTTTGAGAGAGATGGTAGATCAGTCCCCGAGCTCGGTTTGGTGGCGTTTAACGTGCGCCTGCGAGGGCGGTGACTTCTTGCATCAGCTTCTGCCGTTTGGCATCGGGTCCATTGTTGTTGTCCTGCCCGGCCCTGTCACTGGCCTGTGACTGACCAGTCGTGCTCTCGGCGGCCGCTCGAGCTGCCAATAGGGTGATCTGATTGACAACGTCCTCCATCTCGTCGGTAAGCGGGTTTGTCTCCTCCCCGGATTGCGCGCCGCCGTCATATTGTTGCTGCTGCTGTTGTTGCTGGTGCTGCTGTTGGCGTTCTTGGACAGCCTCGAGACGCGCCCGGTGCTGTAGCGTCTCTGCATGACGACGCCACTCGCTTACGGTTGTGTAGGTGCGCGTTGATATGCCGGACTCACACAACGAGCAGGCGTAACGCACCTGCACGAGGCGCAGAGCGCCACGACGCTGCTGATTGCCTAGGTAGCAGGATCGCTGATGCGCCAGCAGCGACGACTCCTGCGGATACGCGCGGCCGCAACGGCGACAGACGAGACACAGCTCGGTCTCCACCTCGCGACAGTGCTGGGACAGTCCGTTCTCGTCGGCACCGCACGACGGGGCCGGCAAACGGACCGTCTCCAGGCCCGGATGATTCGGATCCTGCTGCAGGAACGCTTGCATCAGGGCCCGCGGCACCTGCACCTGTGCGCCACCCTCCACGTGCAGCGGCATCATAGCGCTCCCGAGTAGACCGCCGCTCAAGCCCGCAGCCGCTACTGAAAGCAAATCGTAATCGGTTCTCGTTAGAATAGAACGCAATAGGGACTCGTTCCTAATAGATCGTCTGCACGAGCCGTTTGCCTTTGATTGCCGCGTCAGTCCAGTTTCGCGTATGTCGCCAAAATTATTACCGCCCCGCATCTGTCTTATCTCGAAACTGAACTCACACTGCTTTTAAAGTAATCGGCTCGTTTTACGCGCATTCATACAAGTTTGATATCATGGCACTAATCTTGGCTATTCTCAGCCTTCGTAACGCAAGAGCAATTTGCGGAGGGGAAAAAAACGAATGACAGTATCTTAAAACGACGCATCTGAATTGCTTCGCGTATGAATATCTGTGAAAAATATTTGTAATTATACGGTGGTCTTCGTCGGGACTCGGGACCCATTTACGAGATTACCATAAACGCCGGGATTCGCGTTCGACATCAACATAAAGAGAATATAGGATTCTAAAAGTTACCTGAGTTCTGTAAGGGTTAGATAGCGGAGTCTAGATGGCACATTCGTGCGTAATTGATTTGTGCCAACTTAGTTGTCATAATAGCATCCCCGACGTAAACGGGGGAGAATTTATGCGGAACCTGTTTTCGCCCGAGCGAGACAGGTAAATTGGTAGTTATTAGCAGGCCCGCGGGCCGATGCGCATTGACGGGATAATTCCTGCGGCCGTCTCGAGGGCCAGAAGGATAGTCCGATAGTCCGAAGTCTGTGTATCGAGAGGCTCTCCAGATATGCCTCGGCAGGATGATTAATTCTAATTTCAGGATCACGCGCCGCGGGATGTTGCTCTTTCTCTCTCTCCCTCTTAATTTCTTTTTATTGTTTGAAAATGTTGGTCGGGTATGCAGATAGAAAGAAGCGTAAAATACGCCATCGAACTAGTCCAGCCAACGTTTAATCGGATGTGTGATGCAACGCGCGCGCAATCGCGAGGACCGAGGGAAGGACGCGGTGCGTCGACGTCGATTAGGCGGGTTGACAGGTTTACGCAGTGACGCGCGCGGCTATATCGCGCGTATCGTGTATCAGATGAGGAGTCGTTACGAGGCAGGAAGTGTTAATGATACCCCTGCTCATTCGTTGGACGCTCGGTTGTAATTATCAGAGCTGGTGGGAGGAGGACGAGGAAGACGAGGAGGGCGACGGGCGACAAGAGCTCTTTCTCTCTCCCTCTTTCTCTCGTTCTTGCTCTCACTGTCTTTTTTCCGCCCGTTCTTCCAGTTCGTCTCTCAACGTCGGCGTGGAATTGATAGTTATTAGACGGCGAGAGAGAGAGAGAGAGACCGGAGTACCAGGACCCCGTCCGCGCCCGGTTCCGTTCTCTCTTTGTCGTCTAATGAGAATCCCTGGCACACGCACGGCAATCCACTGTTTGACTAACACTTCTCTTTCTATATCTCTTCGCCTCTCTCACAATCAGTTACCTCGCTTCTTCGTTCTCGCGTATCTCGCGCTCACGTGGATTATGGTTCACCTCGATCGGGCGAGCAAATAATCCGCGTTTTTATGTTCCGCCATCGAAAGAGCCCTTCTCGGAAAGAGGAGGCACGGCCATGTGCAGTAAAGAAGGGAGAAAAGTGTTACGGATAAATAGGGGATTAGCGCAACAACATTGGACACGGTGTATAGTTCTGGTCGCTCGTCTGCTCCCTTTACGGCTCCGCAGCGTTCACGGGAATGTGGCAAATTCATTACCGCCGGCCCACGGACTCGCTTGTCCGCGGTATCGGAGGCAGCTCGCTCTTCTTGTTTGATATAATCGGCTGAATAATGATCATCGAGCGCTCACGTCGTAAATAACGTGTACGTGGCGAACTATGGGTGTTATTGTGGAATTAGAATATCGTTACATGCGAAACGCAAAAATCACGAGCCATTGCTCAAGTTCAACTTAATCATCCACGCGAATATTTATGAAATTATTTCTTGTTTATTTTGTGGAACTCATTGAACGAGCATTTCCATTTACAAAACGTTAAACCGTCTAAGATGAAGGCAAAATGACTTTATTATTGCCACTTATCATCGATACGTACAAGTATTTGATATATACGAGTATGTACAAGGATTTTTATATATCCAGAAAAAAAACGTCTTCCCAAGTCTTATCGATTAAAAGTTATCGAACTGATAAATTTGTGCTTTTGCGTGGCAACTCTTCAGTGCACTTTGGAATGCTAAAAATATTCTCGATAAATCAACTTTCCCGCGATCGAGTTCTCTAGGGTCGATGAACAATGACGTTTTTTGTCATCCCGCTGAATCTCGTGCGGCATAACTCAGCCGGAGGAAACGGGAGTTGCTAAACGACGTGATTTCTTTAGCCGATAGACTTCCTCCTTCGCCGTCGGCCCTCCACCGCGCGGATCGCCCAGCGAAGGTATATAATATAATAAGAAAGATTGTTAAATATATAACGCGCAGCGGCGCAGCCGGACGATCTCCGTGTGACACCCTTGAAACAATCGAAACGATCGAGGAGAGGGATTATTACTCTTAATGAGCACTGGTTATTTCTTTGAGTGGCTCTGATTCGTCCTCCCTTTTCCGTCCTCCGTCACCTTCTCCTCCACGGCGGTCACGGAGCCTTTGCCGCACGTGTATGCGTGTGTGTACACGCGTGCAAATGCACGGAGAAGAAACGCACACGCGCGTCTCTGCACGCGCATCACTTTCGTCTCGTCCTCTCGGAGGGGCTCATTTGCGTACGGATTGAGATAGTAGTGCCTCAGTACGAGTCGCGATGTGTGTTTTTGTTTAAATGTGTGACCGGCGTGTACGCGCGCGCCCGCGCGAGATTCTGATTGCCGGCCGCTCCCAAGTCCCCAGTGGTCGTCATTGCGACGAACTCTCATTATTTAATTTCATGCCACTATGCTTTAATCCTTTGCGCTGGGAATTATTCTGACCGTGATACTAATAAAGCGCATTTATACGGTGCTCAATACGCGCAGATATAACTTCTACTTGAAACGAACTTTCGGGGCTTTATTTATAAATAATTAATAATAAAATTCGCATATACTCATTGTGTTCGGATCTCAATTTTAAAAGAATTGTATGCATAAACATAAAATTCTTCTTTCATGTAAAAATATTAAAATATTTTTGTATATCAAAATATACGTGATAGTTTATATAGTTTACATATATTGCGCTATTTAGATTTAATTTAGTTAAATAATTAAATCAGTTGCTTATAAAGTAAGCCATATCTATAAAATAATAAATTTTATTTCTTAAACTATGTAATTGATAGTTGAAAAATTCTCTTGTCAAACAATTGCTTTTACAAGTCTTTTAACGTATTTTTATTTTAATTCGGTTGCTCTGTTTAATTGTTGCAGATTTGAGAAGCTTTGCCCTCCGTGGATTCCTCACGCGTGAGAACCGCTGGCCTCAAGATTGCTGCGACATATGCTGGAAATTTGTTCGGCGGGAATTTACGAGCGAGTTTCCGTGTCAGAGCCAATACCTGGACTCCGTTGGTAAGTAGATATAAGTCTCTATATCTTGGCAGCCATAAAGTCCCATTCGAGGACCGTCGAACAGAATAATCGAGAATGTCGTTAGTTAGCGCGTTCAAGAATTTTAATGGCTGTTTGGGAGGTGCAATCCGTCATGCGCGTCACTGTCACCATTCGAAATGGCATGACATCGAGTGACGGTCACTTCGCAGATCGGCGAATGTAGAAAATGACGAAATTGTCGCGCAAATTGATCGAATTTGGAGAAAGATTATTACATTAACATTATGAGATTGTTTATTAAAACGGCATTACAAAAGTCATTGTTATGCCGATATAGATGTGAGGATAGGATATAAGAAATATTTTTATATTCAATTTTTGATTGTCTAGGCAATCACACGTATCTAATTTTTTCATCCTTTTAAAAACTAAGATAATAATTTTAGTTCAGTCTTACAAGCTGCTCTCTCTCTCTTTCTCTCTAATTTTGGCTCCACGAATAATAAGTGGTAAATATATTAATATCACCAAGAGTGTATCCTCTTGTCATTATCTTCTTCGCGCTAAGAGGATGTGACGTAATAGAAAAGGAGAGAAAGAGAAAGAAAATCGCGATTAAGTCTTCGGAATGCGTCTGGGGTCCGGTATGGTATCAGCGGCGGCGAAACGCGTGATATTTCGCATCGCTTAAGGTAATAAACGCGATCGGTTTTCCCATACGGTGAATATGCAAATCCGGACGTGTTCGCCACTTTGCATCAGAATCCGCTCGGCCACGTTTAATCGTCGATTAAACGGCGATCCAGATTAACGTGGAATCTTAAACGGCCCGCGACGCGCGTACCCGCTCAATCCATCAGAGTGCATCGCGGGTGAAATCACGACTTCGCGGCGAATGATCTCGCCGGAGGGGAGTCGGTGCCGCAGGGAGGATCAGCGAAGTCCATAACTGCCCGTTACGCGAAGTATGCACAACGGTGCATTCCACGTGTGCACGCTAGCGCGTTCTCACATGGTGACCACCGCACACGTACATAGGAAAACACGTCGTGAACGTGGGCGTGCATTCCTGCCTTCGCATTATCTCCTCCTCGCTCGTTCTCTCTCTTCCTCCTTTCCTCCCTCCTCCCCCCTGCCTCTCCCGCGCTTTCTCCGCGCATCTCTCTCTTTCCCTCTCTCGTTCACGATTCTCGGCTCTCTCCTTCTCGCGCCCGCCGTCGACCGACCACGTACGAGAAGGAATCCTCTTCTTCTTTTTTATTCCTCATCCAGACCCGTTATCGTGGATACCATGGCCCGGAACGACTGTTTCACACCTCCGCTCGCGCGGGAATTAGGAAATAAATTAGCGGTCGGGCTAATTTCGTTATCTCTCCCGATGGCCGCCTCACCCCACGCTTAAGACGTCAAGGCCCGATGTCGGGGGCCCCGAGACCCAATGTGGGACCCGAGGACACGGTCGAAATCGTGTCCCGGCACACACCGCAGGATCAATGGCTCAGCGACGCGCGGAGAGTGCG